TGCATCTCAGTTGCTCTTCAGAAAATGGACTCTATGCTTTCATCAGAGGCTGCATGGATATCACAGTACAAAGACATTACTGATGTAGATGAAATGAAAGTTCCAGACTGTGCTGAAACTTTTATGACTCTCTTGTTAGTTATAACAGGTAATTATACCTATGGGCATTACTGTTGTTTGTAATGAACAGCAAAAACCCTTCAGCTAACAGATTTCTTTACTAAATAGTTTACTAAATATTCATTGTCAGCAGTAATCACCAAATAATCTTGCAAAGTTGTGATGTTTGATGTTTAATAAAAACTTCCTGTTCATTTTGCATCTTGGATACTAACTCATGCATGAATAATCTTGACCTAGTGACATGTTTGCAAAATAGCAATTAAAAATATCCATTTGATATTTACCATATTCTCTCATAGTTGGCAGAATATAATTTGTTGCAATGCAGTAATAAATCCTAATAGTCCTTTTGAATCTATGACAATTCAGAAGCTATTAAGTAACTTCTCTTTTTTTGCAACAGTAGATAAGAGCAAGTATGTTTTCAGGAGACCATTGCATCTTCAATGGCTTTGTCTTTCTCCGTGTGAGGACGCTTTAGGGGCCACGCTGGAGGGTGTGGTATTACCACACATTGCTTCAAGTGCTAGAATACAAACTGCTGTGGAGTTAGGAGGGGGAAGAAAGTCGTTGCATGTTTAGCTTTTGCATGGGCAGTTTCCCTGAAAACAATGAAATATCAGCTGTTTTAAATACTTACATTTAAATACTGACTATATGATGTTCTCATAGGTGTGAGGTGGTGCATGCATGTTCATATGCCTGTGATGTTTCTTTTTGAAAAGCTTTTATTTAATGTTGGAAAGCCTAAAAACATTTTATTAATGTCTTTCCAGACAGGTATAAGAATCTTCCAACAGCTTCCAGAAAACTCCAGTTCCTGGGCCTACAGAAGGAGTTAGTTGATGATTTCAGGATACGATTAACTCAAGTAATGAAGGAAGAAACAAGAGCTTCCTTAGGATTCCGATACTGTGCAATCCTTAATGCTGTTAACTACATAGCAACAGTGTTGGCAGACTGGGCTGACAATGTAGTAAGTAAATACTCCTCTTTAGGAAAAAAATATTTTAAAATTGACTTGGGATGTTTGTTTCATAACAAACGTTTTATTTTCAGCACTTTTTAAGTATATTCAGGAGAATTACTGAAAAAGCAGAATGAGATATAAATTTAGATATAGATTTAGTAAAAGGTGTATAAATAAGGACAGGTTATTGTTTGAGGCCTAAGCTACCAGTATAAACTTTCTAGGGAAATGCAGAAATCTGGGAAATGCAATAATCTGAAGAGATCAAAAAAAGCTCATCTCTTTTACATGCTTTTTATTGTAAAAAAAAGTGAATTGGTTTTGGAGATCTCTGAACCAGAGCAGCAGCCGTTACCTGGTGCTTGAACTCCTCCCATGGCAGGAGAGGTCCCATGTGTGTATCTGTGTTGCAGCACAGTTCAGGTGTGGCCCAGAAAGGCCACTCACTGGTAACTGGGAATTAGTGACTGCTGGACAACAGCCCGGTGGCAGCACGGCCTAGGGCAGAATTTCAGCTTTGCTACAGCTACTGCTGCTGAAGGTAAAAAACCTGTTACACATGGAGTGTGCAGAATAAGGCATTGTGTGGGCTGTGGGCAGCCTCCAAATTCTTACTGTCTTCACAGGAAGGTGTGGCTCTAGCAGGGGATAATCTTGACTTGATAGGACAGCAGCCTTCATGTTGTAAAACTGCATCTATTACAGTGTCTTGATCTGCTTAAAAGCAAAACCAACGAGCTGTTACCACAATGTCGTACTGATCTCGATAAACTAAATTTATTTTCTTGCTGTTGTCAGCAGAGTAAATTTATGATTCAATGAATAATCATTGCTAAAAAAATTACAATTAAAGTTTACTTTTGCAAATTATAAAGAGGCTAAGGTAGGGTTTTTTAAAAGCATGCTGCTGTCAATTTGGAAATATCTTTTCAGTGTCTTTATCTATCTGCTTTTGTATCTGAAACATATATCTGTTCCATCACTAGGATTAAACCACCATGTTTTGTTTTTCATTAAATCAGGATCACAGGGAAGGATAAGAAAGTGTTTTTAATATCTTAAATTTTTAACTTTATAAATGTGCCAGAGGAGAGTTGTTTTCTACAAATGTGTCTAACAAAGTACTAATGAAAAGTTCAAGGAGTAAGATTATTTTCTGTGGTGTTTCTCTCCGGTTTTGTTTGCCTAGTTCTTCTTGCAGCTGCAGCAGGCTGAGCTCGAGGTCCGTGCAGAAAGTGACACCATGAGCCAGCTCCAGCTGGGACAGCTGGCGTCCATGGAGAGCTCTGTCTTTGATGACATGATCAACCTCCTGGAGCGCCTCAAGCACGACATGCTGACACGACAAGTAGATCATGTCTTCAGAGAGGTCAAAGATGCTGCGAAGCTGTACAAAAAAGAGAGGTGATTCTGTTTATTTAATCTCTTTGCATATTACAGTATTATTTCCTGTTAAAAATATTGAGGTAAGTAAAGATAGATATAAGAATAGATAATAGGCAGTATTTTTTCTGGAGTAGGAAAGCTGCAGGGTAAGAAGTTCTGGAAAATTCTCCTTATTCTTATCTGGGAACAATTGTTATGCTATGTTTTCTACAGTAGTTCCACAAGTAGTGGATCTCTTAGTTAAAAACCCTAGGAAAGATTTGGATCGTTCCAGTTTTCTATTTTGAGCAGGAATTACTTTCTTCATAGTAGTATTGAAGATTTTATGCAAAATGGCCTGTCATGACTGTTCTGTCTTCACAGACTCCTAGGGCTTCTTGAATATTTTCTTCTGAGTAGAATTTCTGAAGTACTTAATAAAAGGAATAAAACTCAATGATTATCAGATTAGATGGGGCTCTCTAGAATAACATGTTCAGAGATTTATAACTAAAGCATGAGTTTAATATTAAATGAAATTCAAACGCAGCATTAGACTGATAAATTTTAGATTAGAAATGGGAAAGGATTGTCTCTGAAACATTGTAAATGGGTAAGATTTTTTTTAAAGGGTAATTTTAACTTCAGTTGTTGCAATATGAATAATTTCATTCTAATGACTGCAGTGCAATGGTTTCTTTTAGGTGGTTGTCTTTACCCTCTCAAGCAGAGCAAGCAGTGATGTCTTTGTCAAGCTCAGCGTGCCCGATGCTGCAGACACTGCGAGACCGTTTGCTGCAACTGGAGCAGCAACTCTGCCACTCACTGTTTAAAATCTTCTGGCAAATGCTTGCAGAGAAAGTGGATCTGTACATCTATCAGGAAGTGGGTATCAGTGTGCCCTGTGCAATGCTATGGAGGTGTCGGTGACTGGCTTAAACAGCAGATGCACCTCTTTGTGTTTGCAGATCATTATGGCAAATCATTTCAATGAAGGAGGAGCAGCACAACTCCAGTTCGACATGAGTCGGAATTTGTTCCCCCTGTTTTCACACTACTGCAAGAGGCCAGAAAATTACTTCAAGCAGTAAGTAGGCAAACTTCTAATCTACTGGAATTTCAAAAGCATCCAGAGAAATAAGAGTTCTACTTAAAACCAAGATTTTTTCACAGTTAGTTTTGATCCACACTTTAAATGTGTGAATCATTTAAATGTGTCTGATATTTTCAACTAGGAAAGTTGATTCTGCAGCAACAGACTGTGGCATGTGTCTTGGAGTATTTTGTGTAGCCAGGATGTCTAGATAAAATTATGGAAGGAATATTAAGTAGCACAAACCTCTGAAACTGGGGCCTAAGAAATTAGTCAAAAATACAGCTACAACACAACAAATTTTATTGTTAGAAGGACTACTTTAAACTATTTTCCTCCTCAGGATTGCCTTGTGAGGCAGTCTAGTTGCTGTCAGGGATGAGGTGCTGCTTTCTTTTTGGTTAGTCTATTTCACTAGCCCAGTGTCCTAAATAGTCCAGCATCAAAAACCTCAGCTAATTGGGGCTGAAATCTGAATATTTTTAGACGAACATGGAGCAAGGAAGGATCTTTCGTTACACTTAAATTTGTACTGCTTACATTAATCCATGTAACTTTTCCTCTAGCATAAAAGAAGCCTGCATTATCCTGAACCTGAATATTGGCTCTGCCTTGCTTCTGAAGGATGTCCTACAGTCAGCTTCAGAAAATGAACCATTAAAGCCAAGCCAGCCATCTGCAACAGCAGCACTGAATGAACTTGGAGTTTATAAACTGGCTCAAAGGGATGTTGAGATTCTTCTCAGTTTGAGAGCTAGTTGGCCAAATACAGGAAAATAAAGACTTCAGAAATGGTTAATAACTTGGTCTAGATTACTTATTCCAAGCAAAAGCAAAGCAAATATCTTGTAATATACTTATCTGTTCCATTTCTGTATGCTGAGAGATTGTTTTAATCTAATCTTATGCCTTATTCTGTACAGTTCAAAGAAAAAATTCAAAATGCTACTGACTTGATGTTGAACTGTGCAGATCTTATTTTCCATGGCCACCTTGCCATTGCATCTGGAAGCCAAAACTGTTCATCTCTAATGAACAGTCTGCATTGTCTGCATCATTCTAAGGAACACAGAGTATTTACAGTGTAAATGCATTTTTGTACAACATGGGCTAATGTTCCCTATAAACTGGTCAGTCTTCAGTTAAACACAGATGTTTCACATCTCCAAATTCCAGGTAATGGATGTTCTGTATTAAAATGTATATAATCAGTGCAGAAGGAAGGAATACGTCACCGTTTTCTTCATACAAATTAAGGTAGTCTTTTACAGAAAAAACAATCCCTAATTTTTTAAAAAAATGTTTCTCCTTTTAAATTGCATATTGTGTGCTAAGTTTGAAAATACCACTTGGAAGTGTTACCTGCATTTAAATGTGGACATTTGTCATAACTTGTTGAAGTTGGTTTTTTTTTCCCTTAAAAAGAAAAACCAAAAAACACAGCACAAGCCCAAAAACCAACTTAATTTTATTCAGTGCTAATGAGTCAACAGGTAACAATCCTTTACTGTAAACTATAACCTGAAGGAAGAAACTCCAAAATACTATTTCAGTTGCAAAAGAGATCTCTACTCTTTTTTTTTAACCATCTAATTATATTGAGAACAGCAATTCTTAACTATATTCCTTCCAGTGCCTGCTGGACATTAACACATTCTTGTCACTTGTCCTTTTCCACTTCAGTGGATTGCTCCACTGAAGGGCAGGGAAAATGAGAAAAAGAGGAAATTGCTTAAAGTCGACTCCTCACAGCTGGCAAACCAGAAGAAAAATTGGGGAAGATGCCTGCTTTTAATATATATAGCAGATGACTGGTCAAACTAATACACAGACCAGCTCTCCAGCATCTTCTTCCTCCTAAGACAGAAAAAGAAAATCTCTAGTTAGATAATGAGGATAATTAGTTCATTACCTTTCAGTGATTGCAACAGTTACTAAAAAGTTGCTCCTAGAACCATACCTTGACTATGAGGAATTATTTGAACTCTGAACCTATTTCATCTACAGCTGTGATACCACCCCTGACAGGGTTTCACTGTTCCACATTTGCAGATCAGCATTTTAACCCCTGGGCTGCCTGATGACCTTCACTCTGACTCGAGGGGCAGGTACCAGGAGAGGATCCTGAAACTGAGGTAGTGGAGGGCATGGACTTTGGTTCCCCTTACAGCAAGATGAGAAGGTCAGGCAGTAATTGACCTTTTTTAATCTTGCAATGCTAAGTGACACAGTCAAGCTTAAACGAGCACTTAAACTATCTGTTAGTAACGTAGCTTTGTAAATAAAAAATAAATGTGAGTAAAATATTTCCTATGCATATGTACCCCCCTCCCAAAAAAATCCCAAAAAAAACCCAAAAAGAAACCAACACCACAATTGAAATTAAACTTACATTCCTTTCTTGAAAACACGCCGTGTGATCTTCACATCATCTGCTAGCTCCAAATCCTCAGTGCTCAGTCCCAAAGTTTTAAGGGCTAAAGTTAACACAAGAGAATTTCTTACGTGAGTCTTTGGAAAGACAAATTTAAAGTTAAAGGTGCCTCGATGTGACAGAAGGTAAACGTGTGTAGCATGGCAACATATAACTCAAACGTAAGAAACTTAACCACATGTAACTTTTACCAACTTTCCAAGTTCCACTGTACGGATAATTTTAAGGCATACAGATGGGTAACTTTGGAAGGATTTCAATAACTCGGTGCACGCAGTTTGGCGTGGCCCGGTGCGGACGCACCTTCCCGGTACTGCGCCGGGCGGATGAAGCCCTGGCCCAGGACGTCCAGCAGGCTGAACATGGCGTCCACGTTGGCCTCGTCCATGAGGAACGGGAACTCGCCCTCGGCTCGCCTGCCAGCCCTCACCCGCTCCAGCACCTGGATCAGGAACTCGCGCGGCCGCTCTGCAACGAGGTCAGAGTGCCGGGGGCAGCGGCGCTCAGCCGGGGCACAGAGGCCGCGCAGCCCCGCCGCCCCCCCGCTGCCGGCGGGGCCGGGCCTGCGCACCGGGGCGGTGGAAGAGCAGCAGCGCTCCGAGGCGCTGCAGCAGCTCGGGCAGCCGGTGCCGCCGCAGGTACTCGCGGCTCTGCTCCTCGCCCGCCGCCATCCCGCGGGCCGGGGCCGGGGCCGGGGCCGGGGCCGGGGCCGGGGCCGGGGCCGGGGCCGGGGCCGGGGCCGGGGCCGGGGCCGGGAGCAGGGGAGCAGAGCAGAGGAGCGGCTCCGCTCCTGCCGCGGGACGCGCCGCGGGTGGGGCGGGCACGGGAGGAGGACGGACTTGGCTGGAAATCGTCACGGTAGCGCCGGAGCGGCCCCGCCTCGCTGCCCGCTGGGGCCCGGTCTGCGCTGCTTCGTGGGGAAAGCAAATGGCACGCTGTGCTTTTTAACAGGGGTGCAGATGTTTGGGGCCTGTTAGTGTGGAGAAGAGTAATGGCATCCCTCTCAATGCACACAAATATCTCAATGACTGGTGCCAAGAGGATGTGTCAGACTCGTTTCAGTGGTGCCAGCGGCAGGACGGGTAGCACCGGCAGCGGAACAAAACACACGTTCCACCTCAACATGAGGAGAACTCCTTCACGCCGAGGTGGCGGAGCGCTGACCAGGCTGTCCAGGGCGGTGGCGGATTCCCTCTGGAGACATTCCGAACCCGCCTGGCACGGCAGCAGTGACCCTGCAGTGACCCTGCTGGGCAGCGGGGATGATCTCCGGGGGTCCCTCCCAACCCCGAGGGTTCTGTGATTCTGTTCTCAGCTCCAGCCACGTCTCCTTCCACCGGCGGTACCACCTTCACCTCCCACCGCTCTCAGGTTCATCCCTGCGGTGTGAGGGGCTGCCGGGATGTTCCCAATGTTCTACACCCGTAGGAGATGTAAAACCAGTGGCCAGCAACTGAGAGTAAGAGAGTTTACATTTTAAAAGCATTATTGAGTCTTGCAACATAGCCAGTGCAGAGAAGAGACATCGAAGAAGCTTTTTACTGTACTACATACTGATAATAAGAAAACCATAATCAAGTAAAGTGTCCCACTGAAAAAAAATTAAGGAAATCTACAAAGATATAACTATCTGCTATCAAATAAAATCAGACAATGATAAATGAGCATATAGTAAAGAAGAATAGTATTCCTGTGAAAAGTCTAGCTAAATCTATAGCTAAATATATTTAACTATTTGCCAAAACTAAAATATCACAAGACATTAATAGAATTCACTTAATTTTTCTTTGATAAAGTGGGAGAAAGGCAGCATCCAAAGCTGCAGAGATTGTACGGCCATGTGCTGTCTGTATTCTCTGTTATTTTAAACTGACTAGGTTACCTGCTTTTAGTCTCAATTAGGGCTAGAGAATTAGGTTTCTAACAGTTGCCTCTTATGACAGTTGCCAGGCAGTGATGGAAACCTCCTTTTTCTGAGTAAAACATTCCATAGTTAATCAATCCATTCCTGCACTTGTCTTTCTATGCCTTTCTGCAGAGTTTGTAAAGCATTAGCAAAAAATTCTCCTAAAAAAGAGCAATAGGAGAAAGTGTAGATTGAAATGTGGAGAAGTACAAACAGATGAAGAGCTGGTTAGCAGAGGAGAAATAAAGATGTGGAAAATACATTCTTGAAAATGAGAACCTAAGGATAGGAAGATTGACAGGAAAAGAAGGAGCAAGTGAAATACTGGTAGGTAGGTAGGTCAGTGTTTGGGTCAAGGAAACCAGCATTTGGCAAATAATGTTTCTCCTTTAGTAGTCAACAAAGATAACCAGTATGAAGTGCATATTAAGGGAAAAATTTTAAGAATAAGCACAGGAACTACAGACTTAAGTGTATCTCTCTGAGGAATGGTTTAAAAAAAATCACAGAGCAAATCCCAGTTTGTTTTACAACTAGAAATGTATTTTTTAAAATTCTATTTCACTATTAGGGAAGCACAATTTATTTACTTGAAAAAATATTCTGATGATGAATCATGTATTTATTATTTACATAATAAATTATTATCCTCAGTTCATATAATTATAGTACCAGGTATAGATATAGATCCTAAAAGTATGATATTTCAGGATAATTTGTCAGGAGCTCCCATGAGCTATTGTAAGGCAAATTGAACTTCTGTGGCTGAGAAAAACAGGATTTGACAAACACCTGAAAGTATTCTTGTTCCATTATAGAGATGTTGCTGTTTTAATAAAGGACTAAAGATCCAAATTATTTTCATCTGTTTAAAGTGTCCTGGCTATATAAATTAGATTTCATTAAAAGGCTTAATACCTGTTGTGATAGAAGCTGAGCCTTCTACAGAGTATCACTAGTAATTTACGCCTTTTATCTAATTTAATAGGGCTAAATAGACTACAGTGAGCCTTTAAGAGTTGTATTGAAGAGAAACAGGGACTGCAGGTCAGATATGCAGCTGGTTGCAAAACAACCACTTGTCTTGTAGGGAAAAACAGGCAGATGGACTTGTTCTTTCAAGTGGGAGTGTCAGAAGAGTGAAGTCTAGGGCTATGGGAAAAGACAGGAGCAATATGGGCTGGGAAAGATCCCGAGATGTGCCACAGGCTTCCCGTGCACACAGGTGCTGAGAGCAGCTCCTTGGAGCTTTACTTACCTCTGCTGCTCCCCAGCATGAGACTGGGAAGCTCTCTGCTGGGGAGCAAAGGTGAGCTGCAGGGATTGAATGGAGGTGCTGCCATTGCTGTAGCTGCTTTGGAAGAGTCCACTGCAGCTTCCCTCTGGGTGTCCCCAAGGACTTCCAAGATACAGGTGAGTTCCTCATCAGGGGATTGTATACTGTACATTTACAGAGGAAAGTGCTCAACTATAGAAATATTGAGCTTCTGAGTATTAATTATCCCAACAGCCAGAACCACTTTTTTTGTTGTTTTTACTGTACAAAACAGTAGAATAATTAAATTGAAATTGCCCTCTGGAGATCATGTGCTCAACTCCCTTTCCTCTTCAAACTGGGCTAATTTCAAGGACTGGCTCACATTGTTCACAGCCTTGTCAAGTTGTTACTGTCTCCAGAATGGAGACTCCACAACATCATGTTCTGTGTTCCAGTGCTCAGCTGCACAGGATTGGTACCAGCCTGTATCCTTGAATCAAGCCCAGCTTTTCCCATAGGCTTCTAGAGATGCAGGATAAGCAGTCCTTCACTCAGACGTCCTGGGGATAGCACCTCACTGCCTAAACTATGCCCAAAGCTCTCAGCACAGATCTCTCCAGTTAAAAACTGAAGCAAAGGTACAATGAGTGTACCTCTGTCCTCTCCCTGTCCTCTGTCACTGGGTTACCTACCACATGTATGGGGCCCACATTTACTTACTTTTCCTTCCATGTTAATGTACTGGAAGTGTCCTTCACATCCCTCACTAATTCCAATTCCAGCTGAGCTTTGGCTTTCCTGTTTCTGTTTCAGCACGCCTGAGCAGTGTTTATTCCTCTAGGGCAGTCCACCCCTGCTTCCACAGTCTGTGCACTTGCCTTTTGCCTGTGACTTAGTCAGGAGCTCTCCATTCAGCTATGCTGGCCTTCTCCCATGTCTGCTCAGCTTCCTGCAGATCAGAATGGACTGTTCCTGTGCTTCAGCTAGCTCTCCTGGGCCCTTTAGGTCAGCCTTCTGTGAGATTCTGCCAACAAAATGTCTGCAGGAGACAAAGTCTGCTCTCCTAAATTCCAGGATTGCAGTTCAACTATTTAATCTTCGTCACTTCCCTCAGAATCACAAGCTTTGCTATATTGCAGTCACTGCTGCCAAGGCTGCCACCAGTGTCAGTGCTCCCAGCAGCCCTTCCTTATGTGTGAGCAGCATGTCTAGCACAGCCCCACTCGGCTGGTTGAGTCCTTCTGTCAAAAAATTGTCCTTGATGTACTACAGAAGTAGCTGGATCACCACTTGTGCCATCCCAGTCCTCTCTGCAAGAACAAGAGCCCATAGTCATCAGTCTCAGCTGTGAATGTTGGCTTTTTATTTTCCTTTCCCCCAGTCAGCTGCAAAATAAAGGCTAAACCTGCCATCAGAAATCATGTACTGGGAAAAATAAATCAGGAATTACAAAAATACTTCTTGTTTCTGAGTCAAGGAGAAGAGTAAGTCACAACATGCTTAGGTTGATATCAGAAGACTTTACTGTAACAGAACTGTCCACTTCTCAGTTGCCTGAAAAGCCACAAAACTGATTTCCTGGCACTATGGTTGGACTCCTGCTGAAGACAAAGGGGAGAAAAGAAGTTACTTGAGCAGGAGCTGCATTCTTTGAGATACACAGTATATCTTCCTGTGACAGTATGGCTCTGAGCACATAGCTCTTCAAACACAGATGCTTTTTTTCCAGCAACATCTATAGAATGAGTTCACACTGCACAGGGTGGGAGAGCTCAGAGGTGCATCTCCATTGCCTCAGTGTCTCTGACACCCCATAATTCAAATAGACATTTCGAGCAACAAAAAGGTGGGCATGCAGTTAGGAAGCAGCAGTATGGATTGTGCATCTCCAAAGGTTTGTGTTTCTGAAGAGTAACCCCTGTCTTTTCCTGTACTTGACTGCAAATCCACACATCTACTCTAACCAGTCACGTCAGTCAGTACTTTGTAAAAGCAGAGTTACCAGGAAGAGCCCTTGTTGGTGTTACAAACACAAATCCTAAAGAAAAGTAACATGGAAGGAGTAGCTCAAGGCAAAATTATAAAAACAACAAAAAACCCCAAATGTCCAAGAAACCACACCACAAACTCCCCCAGCTGATTATGGCTCAAAATAAGAGAAAACTAAAGAAAAATGAAGGCAAATAATTGCAATTTAAGAGTGGAGCTGACCAGAGGGGAAGGTTTCTTGTGTAGGCTGTTGAGAACAGCTTAGAACTGAGGCAAGATATATATATATGTATGTATGTATATATATATATGTATGTATGTATATTCTGCAGCTGTGGTAGAAAAGGCAAAGAGGTTGACCTGTGTAGTCCCAGTAGTGACCTATCTCACTTACCTGTGCCACAGCATTCCAAATCAGCACTGAGGAAATTTCCCAGTGGGAAGGGATGATGTTTTCTCTTGTGCAGTGATGTCCTCTCCATCACCATTTCATCTGCTGCCTCAGTAGGGCCGGGCTGGAAACGAGCTGACATAGACACAGGACTGCCAGGGCTGCACTCGAGTTCATCACGGCATTCTTTGTACTTACACCAAAAGGCCTTCACACCTGTGGATTCTGTAAATGCACTTTGTCCATGACAGACAGCTTTTCTGAAAAACTACCCTTGTGGTGTCACATCAACCATGTCAGCAACTGCTCCAAGTTAATCAAGCCCAGACTGAATTTCAGAGCTCAGTATGTCACATTTGGGAAATCAGCAAAGGGCACAGCTGACGGTAGTGCCCCATCTCAAATCCCTACTGGTGTCCTTACTCTCAAATCAAGTTCTCCTGGAACCTGATTATTATTGCTGGCAAACTTCTCCTAAAGCTTCTCCTTCTCCTTTCCATAGGGACAACAGATCACAGAGTAGAGCTAAATATTTTTGGGTCAGCCATAAACAACAAAACCCCCACACAAAAGAATCCAGCCGGTGTCATTTGTGGTGCCTTACAAAAACAGCTCAGTACTGCCTGCCATGGAACCTCCAGGCAAAGGGCAGACTGGCACCTACTGCTCAATGATCAGCTTTAGCTTTCTTCTACTTAGGAAAGTATCTTTTAAAACAGATCTGCATTTGCTTTGAATGGTTGCTTTCAGGAAGTATTCAAGGAGCAAACCAGCATAGAAAGATTTGCATGAAATAAACATTCTTGTGTTCTGAAGTCTGAATGTGTTGTATGACTCTCCTCCAAATATTTCTGGAATCAGTATTTGGCATTTTTTCCAATTGTGAATCCTGACAGATTTGGAAGAATAAAACAGATCCTGGTTGCATACAGCAATGACTTCCTTCTAAAATAAATAGTTGCATGGTAAAAACAGAAGCATAAAAATGAGAGTGCAATGAATAAAGAAGTTACAGTGTGATCTGCTTCTCTCTAAAATGGGCGGTATTTAGAGCATATTAGAGAATACGAGCAGGAGAAGACTGCTAAAAGTAAAACACTTGTGCATAACCAAAAAAAAGGAGGGTAAACCCAACTCTGAGAACAGCTTATAGATCATTCCAAGAAACCCACAAAAGCTGAAAAACTACTGATTCATTTTTGGGAAGTCAGTGGTCTTCAGCCTTTGCTGGCCATAGGCAATGATGGCAAGCAACTAATATATCAGCCATATTCTGTTTTCTTGGCTGTAGTTTTAATTTCTAATGGCCTCTAGAAACAGCAAAGCATCTTATGAACACAGAGTTACTCTTTAGCCATACATGGGGACGACTTTTATCAGATGAAACTTCAGCATCTACTACTATTTCATTATATTATTTTCTTCTGTAGTGGAAAAGATAAACAAAAAAAAAGCTTTCAGAATGCAAGTATCTGAGATCGAGGTATTAACTGGACAGTAAAGAGGAAATTCAGGATTAGCTTTTGTGACAGGAATCAGAAAGTGTAAGACATTACACAAAAGGCTGTTTACCTGGAAGGTAAAATTTCTCTCCTTCAATTCCCTTTTCCTGCAAGGCAGCCCAGCTTCCTATCTCCTCTGCCAGTTCTGAATGTGTGCCTACAAAATGCAGTTTGCAGTCTAAATTACTTGCTTTTAAAAAAGGTACTATAATTATTAGCATCTTCCCTACAGTATCTCCAAGACAGTTTCCAGATATTTCATCAAAGGAGCATGAAAATGTACATCTTCCCAGATTTGCAGAAGAGGGTGTCTGCGAGAGAAAAAACTGCAATCCTCTCTGCAGAGCTGTCGAGCCAATGAACAATTTAAATCTCATTTGATCTGTAACTGGAACAGGCTTTGCACAGAACAAGAATCTTAACACCCAGATAGGAGCTGCGGGTTGAGTATTAACAATGATAAAAAGACTGGTTATAAATTTGTACTGCCCATTGAAGTGAGAATTCCTAAATCTAGCAGCTCTAACAAAGGTAATTCTTACACTGATAAGGAATGAGAAAATGCATTCAGCTAAGCAAAGGAATTTAAAAATGGTTTATCAGTGCAAAAAACCTCAGCAGCCAATCGCTGCACATGTCTTGACATGTAAATACAGAAATATTTTAGACATGAATGCCGAAAATAATCCCAGGGCAACTCAGCCCTGTACAGAAAGCTGGGCAGATCTTTTGAACTACCATGGAATTTTCAGTGCAGGGCATCTGCAGTGTATTTCAGCCTCTGGGAAGAGAAAGCAATACACACCATTTTTGCTTTGCAAAGAGAAATAATGACAAACCCCATCTGTTTCTTACAAACATATAAATTATTTTATTTACAAAGCCATGTTACAAAAAAAAATAATAATAAAGCAAAAAACAAAAAATACAATCGCTCACTAGAGAATATCTCCAGGCCCGGTGTTGAACCATGGCAGTATCAATCAGATACATGTTTGTTCTGGTTTTCCTTTTTTAAACTGTAAGCCATAGAATTTACTATTTACACCTACTTTAGACATTTATTCTGCTTACAATTATCACAAGCATGGAATGAATTCTATTTGATACTGCTAATACATAAAGGTGCAGGACAAAGAATGAAAATACTTAGTGTTACAAAATATGGATTGTAGAAAAGAAATTGGCTGTACAAGTATGGCATTTTTTTTCTTAGAATGATTGGACATGCTTTCTTCAAAAGTCTTCTGGAAAAGGTTCTAAAATCTGTAGTAGGAAAGCACAATATAGCAGGTGCAAATTCATTTCTGTGCAACAACAGTTATTTAATATATCCCATGACTGACCAGCTATGCAAAACCCACAGAGTTTTGTTAAAGTGCCATGGGTCAACAGCATAACAAAATATAAGGTGTAAATAGAAAAATTTCTTTTTTTCTTCTTTTTTTTTAAAACAATAGTTCACTGAGAATCAGCAATAATAGAATATGCTGTATAAACTATTCTCTACAAAGGTCGATCAGCACTATTTACAATTGTTACATCGATACAAAAGAAGGCATACAAGTTATCCAAGTCGCTTTTTATGGCTGACGGGCCTATGCATTGCGGATGTGTAACAACCAAAGCTTCTGAGCCTCTATTGCTGGAAACAAATCACAAGGTTTTCAGGCAAATGGGGAAGAAAAAGAACTACGAGTGAATGCTACACTAAGAATGCATTATAGGCTGGTCCAGTTTGTATCCACTTTTTTTCCAAAAGTTTACTTCCATTTTATTTTGCAGGCTAAAATTTCCGATACATTTAATTAAATAATGATTCTTTAATGATGAAAGAACACCACGGGATTTTACTTCGTGCTTAACTTTCCTGAAATGCTGTCAGGTGTAAAGCAGTTGAAAATAAAATTTAAGCAGCATTCAAAGGACAGGCTCCATAATTCAGCTTTCCAATTAAAAGATGCATGGAAACAGCTAAAGCTTCCTAAAACTACAAAATTGCTCCTTCAGTCACTGATTAGCATTATTTCTCAGAAGCAACCACTGAATCTCACAACCACTGTTTTCCCTCAACAACTAGAAATAGCAGTTCATTGATTACAGAGGATGACTTTGTTACTGAGATTTTTAAAATCCTGCAGTTTTATAACTCAAAATAAATTAAAAAAAAATCAACATAGTACTGCTCCTAAAACTGAACAAGACAAAAATTGTGCAAAAATAACAAGGATATGTACACATTTTTCAGTCTGAAGAAATGTACAATAAAAACATAATTCAAAGAACATTTTAAAAATATAAACATTGCTTAAACTTTCCTAAGTTTCATACTGTTTCTGAAACTATACCGGTCAGTTAGCTCTGAAGTATAGCAAAACATAAATTATTACAAAATTAACACTATAAAAATTTATTTTAAGAATATTTCTAAACTTTTTTTTCAAAGGGTCTAGCCTTGTTTATAATTGCTTAAACATTTTTAGTCTTAAAATTTGCCTTAACCCTTCTTTTTTTAAAAAAGAAAGTAGTAATAATCTCCCTATTTGCAGTCTCTTGCCTTTCACCAAGATGTAAATAAACCAGCATATAAGTGCACTTTTAACACTGTAGAAATAAAAATTAACTCCTCTGTACTATTGTTCCAGTACCTAGTATTGGCTTCCTGATTATAAAATCTATATTTTATTAAAAAATTATTCAGTAATCCTATAAGAAACACTGTCAGTGCAATTCTATTAATGCAAGCCAATCTGCTCAACTCCTGTCCTCGCAAACCCAAACTGCTCACTGAAGTTATCGAGTGCTGTGTTCTTAAGGGTCTGGAAATCCCCCAAGATATGGGGATTTTACACATTGGGCCCCTGATAACAGTAATTACAGTTTGGTGCAAAATTCTGCTATGCATTGATTGAAGTATAGATTCCTTAAGAGCCTGATTCTGGAAGAGGCTGAACACTCAGAGTTCCCACTGAAATTATTAAATGCTGTAGGTACAGAGCACCAATCAGGATTAGTCCCTAAAGTTGCAGTGCCCCAGCTGTTTGCAAATTACTAAGAAATGCACTCAATTTTTATCCATAGGACAAGCTTAAATACAGAATTACTGTAATTTTTATTTCATGAAAAAAATTTGGAGATAGTTTAAATAAATTCAAATCATGGTCTGGATTTTTTTTTTTTTTGGAATGTCCATTGTGTTCTGGTTAGGAAACAAAGGGAGCATTGCAACGCTAACAGCTTTAAAAGGCATGAAACGTAATCAAGCAGAATGCACAGATCAGTGGCAAATACAAGTGGAAAAACTAAACAAATCACTATTACAGTTTTTTGTAAATTTAATTTTCATTAAAACCACAAATTCATAAAAGTTTAAATCCATCTGCAGGACATAGAAAAGAAAAACCCTGTGGAGTAGGGCTGCTGAGAGCTAGAGATTATAGGCTGGTTCCTTTTCCTTGTTATGGAAGAGTCCTTATTCTACCAGTCCGGTTTGATGTCTTCTAAAAGAGAAACCAGAGCCAGGTTCAAAATCATACAATGTCTTTTGGTATAAAACACTTCAATAATGTCTGTGGCTGACAGTACTCAAAGCAGGAATTTATTTCAAGTCCCTGAACTAAATTTCCTCCCTGTTTACTGACTACATTAGACCTTTAAGAAAAGGAACTGCTTTGAATAAATGGCATATTTCCTTTTGGGACGGTCTGATTTTAGTAAGCTTTGGTGAATTTCATGTTCTTTAACTTGGTTATCATTACAAATAAAGAGCAGCAATTAGACGACAACTCTGAAGAATCTTTTCCTCTACACAGCATGTTTTCATGCACAAGGAATCCTCACACAGCATACACGTTGTCACCTTCCCTTAATAAAATGATCTAGTTATTCAGTATTTAAAAACCACCGCATACTGAGGTCTTGAAGTGTTAACACTTTCAGGCACCTAAAAGCACTATGAAGACAAAAAGACTTGATTAGTTAAAAACCTAGAACAAGAATAAAATATGGAGAAAACAAACTTTTAATACATACAGGCACAAATAATTTGACTGTAAAACTACCATTCCATTAATTTTTGTTAAAGATCATATAATTTTTGTAGGAAAAAGCAGTATTTATTTTACTAAAGCAACAATAATAGTTGGAAAAACAGGCACGCTTTTATGTATACAATCTCTAATTCAGGTCTCAAAGAGGAGCAGCAATATTAATATTAAACATTAATTGAGAAGAATCTGTTTGAATTCAGCCTGATGGAGTTTAATGCAATGGGATAGAAGTGACAGGCCCACAACAATTCTCATGATCCACCAGTCCCACGGGAGTACCCGAGTGAACTTCAAGACATGGAGCAAATGATCAAAAGCAGCTACTCCTATGACAGCAAAACAACTGCAGGCCACCTTCAGCTCACACCTCAATAATGAGAAACGCTCAGTTATGGGTGGCAGGTGACTTTCACAGCACTGCTGTGTGTCCTTTCACTCCGACCGGCTGCTTTGGGAAGGCCAGCGGGAAACGCTCCCAGCTGGACTGCACCCGGGTGGTCACAGGTGCAAACCAGACTGGGGTGTGGGTCGGGTTTACAGCCCAACACAATTTTCCAAAAGCCACATTCTCACCCAGCCACTCAGCCCTGTGATGAGTTATGGACCCCTCTCCCTTCTCTTGAGAACAACAATCTCCTCCCTTAGGCTCCCCTGCTGCACCAGCAGACAGCTCTGCCAGGTTGCTTGGCCAGGGAAGGCAGTGGAGGCAGTCCAGAGGAACTGCTCCATGTGCACATTTAGCTTGGCAGCTGCAACTCCACTTCCAACTGCATTGTTACAAGTCTCTTGTTGTGATGTATTCATGAAAACTTGCCAGATTTTTCCAACTATAAACCCTGGTGTGCAGCAGAGATTGTCTCTGCCTACAAACCTTGCTTCACTTGGACTCCCTGATTATCATGGTTATAGTAACACTAACATTCAAAACAAGAGAGCTCAGCTTCCACAGTAATACCTTCACTGACACAGCATATACTTGTAGATCCACTTATTGTTACCTAATTATTAACACCTTTATAATGAAATATTACAGCATAGTTTAATGCAGAAATTTTATTTAGGGACTATTCAATTGCTAGATTGGTGATAAAAGCTGCCAACAAAGAAGCTCAAATTTGACAATGACAAGCATTTATTAAGTAGGGAATCATTATTCATGGTTCCAAATACTAAATCCTGTGTAAGTTTAAAAAAAAAAAAGTTTAATAAAACTTAGTCTCAACTTGATTTTTTTTTTGTATTTGTACTTTGAGCTCCACATTCAACCACCAAATGGACAGAAATGTATTTTTTAAAATAAAGAGTTTATGGGGCTTAAAACAAGCAAACATTTCTGTTTTTGATAAAGTTATGAAAACAGGCAACTGAAAAGCTCTGCAGTAATCTGAGTTTACATAGAGCTGACACAAAATTAATGTTTTGTACTCTGAGGTTTTCCCCATGGGATCTAGGCAACAGATCCCAACAAGTTCTGCTCCTCGGGTAGTGTGTCTGTTATACTAACACAGGAGCAAGATGCTAAAACAGAAACAGTTTGGCACTTAAGAACAGTCTGTCACTGGCAGTTGGATGACAGTGTCACATAGGAAAATGCCACTCCTTAGAAGTATGAAGAAACTTTCCACTTTTTTCCCTTCAGAGGAGTCCTTCCATACATATATTGCATTGCATTCAGCAGTGAGAGAAAAAAAATAATATGTATTGTTTGGCAGTTCATCTCAAGATATGAACATACAATGGGCATACAATGTGGATGTGAGTTATCATTACTATTCTTTTCCTGTGTCTACACAGCAGAAACTAAGCAGCACAACCATTTGGAATAACTATTCATGCATAATTTAGCCAGAATATATAACAGAATTCTCAGACACTGGCTGTACAGAAAAGCACTCTGGATTACTTTTGATTATACTTTGCTGAGGGGAGAAACCTTTTCACACTAAAGAACTTGATATTAAATTCTTGATTAAGTCCTCAATGTGGTGAGGCAAATAGTAGGGGCCATATTAAAATAAACTAGTATAGCCGTCCTCCAGACAGATGAGGGCTGTATCAAAAAAGCTGAGTTACAGCATTTATTACCTTTATCCAACTCAGACCCTGTTTAAGAAGAACTCACATTACACATGGGTTGGTTGTGCTTTCAGATTAGTTTCTCTGAATAGTCAAGTGCCTCATCTTCTCTCTCCTGTTTCTGCTCTCCCTTTGCTGCTTCACTTCTGGCCTATTTTTAAATGCTGTCCCTCCTGTGCCAGTCTGGGGACTCTGCTGTGCCATCTTGCTCAGCAGAAGTGAGATAAAAAAACAACAGAGATCTGCTGCTGCTATCACCAAAGCAACAGCCAGTGAGAGC